AAAAAAAAAATGATTTCTGCGAAAAGCTCTAACAAGCAAATAGTTTCGAAGGTCATTTTTATGAGAAAAACTGGTGGCTCGTGATTCTCGGTTTTGCTGAGGAGATCAGGTAAATATTTTTAGTATACTCGATTTTTTGAATGATGATTACGGCGACGTAGAATCGCGACTATATCAAAGTTCACTTTTCATACTTTTTGAGGAATTTTACAATGCCGTAAATGTATAAGCCTGTGAAAACCCTCGTTTGATGAATAAAATGAAAGCAGTTTGTGATTGCTTACCTTCGTCTCGCATCTTTGGCTTTCATGCCATTGCGCATACGTTAGCGTGTTTTTCTCTTCTCAAAACCACATCAATTTTTTCACCGTACGGTAAATGTGAAACGAAAACGAAATGCAAACAGAATGAAAGCATACCCAAAAAGCATGGCCTTGGCAACTTTATTGTTCCCTATGGTCAGATACAAGCGCAAAGTCACAAAAAACCCTTATTGGATAGCAGTAGACGTGGAAACCATAAACCTTGGGTAGTATAAAAGAGAAAGAGCACGGGTTTTCTTCATATTTACAGCATCAACACTTCTTCTACACTGCTTCTTCTCAGCTCCCTTTCCTGTAATATAAATTTCTAAACTAATTACAGATGCGCTGCGCCATACTTCTGTTCGCCTTTGCTGCGGCATGTGTTCATGGTCAATCCCAGAGTTCTGGGTATGAGGCTGCTGAGCTGTCTCAACCTGCACCCCCGGCTCCTGTTAGCGCAGATGGTGGAGATCAGCAAGCATACAATACGGACGGTGGCTCAAGAGGAGTTCCTCCTGTACCTTCAAGTGCAGGATTTCCACCCTCACCTCCTCCACCTCCGCCACCGTCATCACCTGCTCCTGAGAGCTACACAAGCTCTGCATCTCCTGCTCCAATTTTAGAAACGTCTAGCGCAGGAAGTGGAGACGCTTCTGTTGGAGCAGTAAGCCAATAGTACTATTTTACTAGCCACCACTACCTAAGAAGATTTTGATTCCAGATTGGAGGAGACAATAGCATTGGATACAGAAATCGCAGACGTTTCCGTCATCGTGTTCGTCGCGTTCATGTATGAAACTTCGATGCCTGATGCTGACATAATCTTTTGTTGTATAGTCAGATCTCTAATAAATGATGCACACTTTTTATTT